GTTCGAGGCCAACCTGGTCTACATAGTGATTCCAGGCAAGCCTAGGATACATAGTGAGACCATATCCTTTTTTTTAATCATTTGAGACACTGGAAATGCTTTACTTTTTATTTTTTTATCCTAGCTTTGTTTTTATTTTGTATGGATGGGTGTTTTGCCTGACCTCTATCTGTGCACCACATATATGCAGTCCCCACTGAGGCCAGAAGAGGGTGTTGATCCCTTGGGATTGGAGTTCCAGACTGCCTGAGCAGCCATGTGGAAGCTGGGAATCAAACCCAGGTCCTCTGGAAGAGCAGCCAGTGCTCTTAACTGCTGTGCCGTCTGTCCAGCCCCAGATATTTAGGTGATAACACCTTATTTCCTTGCTGACCTCTAACCCCTGACTTCTCTTAGACTTTTGTGTGGTGCTTGTTAAGGTGCTTGGTACAATAAGAAGTGATTGGCAATAAATTAGAATCAGTTCTTTTATGTTGCTTAATTCATTCAAAGCCAGGCATGGTGCTTTATAATGTCAGCTACTTGGGAGGCTGAGGCAGAGGATTCCTTGAGTCCGTAAGATAAAGGCCAGCCTGGACAGCGTACTGCACCATACTGCATACGTGTACCAAGACCTGAGTTTGAGACCCAGCACCACCTGAACTGGGCACACAAGCCTGTAATCCCAGCATTTATCAGATGGAATCAGAAAGAAGATGAAGAATTCAGCAGTTCCTTTTAAGAGGGTATATGCAGAGGGCGGAGGAAGACATTGCATGCCCTGCTCTACTGCTGTTTACTTGGCTCTTTTGAGACAGGGTCTCAGAAACCTGGATCTAGGCTGGGGTCAGCAGGCCCTGGCTCTGCTCCTTTCTCTATGCCCACCCCAGCACTTGCTTTTTATGTGGGTGCTGGGAATTTGAACACAGCTCCTCACGCTGGCAGTGTATTGGTTAGTTTTTGTCAACTTGACACAAACTAGAGATCCCTGCGAAGAGGGACCTTCAAGTGAGGAATTGCCTCCATCAGATTGGCTTGTGGACATGTCTGGGATGTTGATAATTAATGGAGAAGAAGCCTAGCCCTCTGTGGGTGGTACCAGCCTTAGGCAGGTGGTCCTCGATTGTGTAAGAAAGCAGGCTGAGCAAATCCAGGAAGGCAAGCCGTAAGCAGTGTTCCTCCATGTTCCCTGCATCAGTTCCTGCACTGGCTTTTCTTGATGGTGGACTGACCTGTAAGCCACATCAACCCTTCCTCCCTAAGTTGCTTTGGTCTTGGTGTTTTCATAGCAACAGAAACCAAACTAAAATGCCCAGCCATTGCTCTGTCCTAGCTTTTCTAGTTTTGTGAAGAATGTCATTGTCGCCAGGCAGTGGTGGCTCAGGCAGAGGCAGGCAGATCTCTGTGAGTCCAGGAGAGCCTGGGCTACACAGAGAAACCCTATCTTGAAAAACAAAAAAGAATGTCATTGTGATTTTTTCTTCCTGTCACCAGAGACTGACCCCAGGGCCTTGTGCTTGCTAGGCAAGCATTTTACCACTGAGCTAAATCCACAGGCCTGTCATCAGAGTTTTGATGGCGAGTTCTTTGAATCTGTAGTTATTTTTAGTAGCATTTGCACAGTTCTTCCCATTATCTAGTCAGCTAGTGTCTCTACTTAGTTTCTTTTTTCAGCCTCTTACTGTATTTCCTGTAGAGGTCTTGCACCTCCTTGGTTAGGTTATTTCTTTTTTAAAGCTGTTACAAGAGATACTTTTCCTAATTTCCTCCCCAGCATATTCATCTGCATAGAGTTCTCAAGAGATGTTGATGATATTGACCTTACACACACACACACACACACACACACACACACACACACACACACACGATTGTGTATCATGTAAATTTAATCCCACCATATGGGAGGCAGAGGCTGTCTACTCCTAGTTTCTTCAGAAATTTTATTTAATTTTTAAAGATTTATTTATTTACTATGTATACAGTGTTCTGCCTGCACACCAGGAGGGGGCACCAGATCTCATTATAGAAATTTTATTTTTAAGGTGTGCTAGAATTAAAGGTGTGCACCACCACACCCTGCTCTAAGCTTTTCTTTAATTTAATTTTTACAAATTGGAAACTTAGCTGGGTGGGATCATGCCCTGAGGTCACCACTTCCTTTATTCCATTTCTTAATCTCTTTTATCTCTTATTTCCTTGAATACAGGACTTAGCTGCATTCCACTTTCTGGTGCTCCTTTTCTCCTCAAATATTTTTTCTTGTTCAGCTTGTTCCTTTTCATTATGTATCTTCATTAGAGTTAACACTAATAACCACAAAACAGAGTCTATACTAGGCTGTTATGAGATTTCTTCTGAGAATGGAATTAATCCGAAACTCTCCACTTTAGCCTCAGGCAGACTCTTCCCATAAGGGGAAAAAAAAAACAGCTTTCTTCACCAAAATATCACAAGAACAGTCTCTAGGCAACATCTGTGAGACTCCTGACCCAGGCCCCACAGTTCAAATCACACTCAGCACCACTGTCTTCCATGCTCCTACTAGTATGGCCCTTAACTGCTTTTCTAATCCACAGTCCCAAGGTCCATGTTCCTTCAAACAAAAATATAGTCAAGATTATCACAGCAACTCCCCAGTCCCTGGTACCGACTTCTGTCTTAGGGTTTCTATTGCTTTGAAGCAACGCTATGACCACAGCAACTCTTATAAAGAAAACATTTAATTGGGGTGGCTTACAGTTTCAGAGGTTCAGGCCATTCTCTTCATGGTAGGAAGCAAAGGCCTAATGCAGACAGACATGGTGGTGGAGAAGGAGCTGAGAGTTCTACATCTTGATCTGCAGGTAACAGAAAGTGAACTGTGTCCCACACTGGGCGTAGATTGAGCATATGAGACCTCAGCGCCCACCTCCACGGTGACACACTTCCTCCAACAAGGCCACACCTCCTTTAAAGCCACACCTCCTATAGTACCACTCCCTCTGGGGACCATTTTCTTTCAAACCACTACATGTCCCCTATAAGGTTTGGAGACTGGGGTGAAGAAAATATAACGTATATTGTAACGATAAATAAAAAGATGAGGTGAAGTGGGCACCTTTCAGTGGGCCCTGCCAAGGTGTGCCACTAAGCACACACGACACGTGCAACAGAATTAGTGCAAGGGGTTTATGGTGGCGGAGGTGGGGGAGAGAGTGAAAAGGCCGTGTCGGAGCGGGGACATAAGAGAGCAGACAGGCAGGCAGACAGACAGACAGATGAGAGGAAGAAGAGGAAACGGGAAAGAAACAGCAAAGAGAGGATTAGAGGCAAAGAGACAGGCGAGGTAAAGAGAGTGAGCTGTGCCTGGCGTCACTCTTAAGGGGCGCACGTGTCACATAGCTGGCGGTGGAAGGACACCTGGCGACAGGTGATGACATAACTGCCTTGGCGGCAGAGGCAGGCTGCCGCCGCCGTGGAAACATAAGTAATAGATTAAGGTATCAATATTTAAGTCGTGGAGTGAAGGAGGAATGGGGAGGGAGGGAAGAAAGGGAAGATAAGAAGGGAGGTATGCAGTTAAAGAGTCAACAAATGAAGATTTGCTGGGAAGATGGCAGCGGCCCAGTGTTTAAGAGTGTGCTTGCTCTGCTAGCAGGGGGGCCTGAATGGGATCCCAACACTTGTGGGAAAAGCCAGACATGGCTTCACGTCTCTAACTCCAGCATTGGGAGCACAAGCCAGGTAGATCTCAGGAGCCAGCCCCCCTAGCCAAAAAGCAAGTGTCTACTTTAGTGTCTCAGTTAGGGTTTTTATTGCTGTGGCAAAACACTATGGGCAAGGCTGCTTACAGAAGGAAGAGTTTGGGTGAAGGATAGTCCACCCCACCAGCATCATGGTGGGGAGCAGGGCAGCAGGGCAGCCACAGAACAGCAGCTGAGAGCTCGCATCTCAGTTCACAAACAGGAACCAGAAAGAGCTTACTGGAAATGGTACAAGTCTTTCGAAATTCCAAGTCTACCCCCAGTGACGTACTTTCCAACAAGGCCACACCTCCTAATCCTCCCCAAACAATCACCAACTGGGGACCAAGTATTCAAATGTCTGAGATTATGAGGAACATCTCATTCAAACCACCACATTCCATTATCTCGTCCCTATAGTCTCACAACCATATCATAGTGCAAATTTAGTTCAGCTTCAAAAATCACCATAGCCTTTTAGTCTCAAGACTGTTTAAAAGTCCAGAATCTCTTCTGAGACTCAAGGCAGTCTCTTAATTGAACCTCCTGTAAAATAAAGCAAATTGCGTACTGTCTTAGTTAGGGTTTCTATTGCTGTGACGAGACACCATGGCTATTGCAACTCTTACGAAGGAAAAATATTTAATTGGAGTGGCTTACTTACATTTTCAGAGGTTTAGTCCATTATCATCATGGTGGGGCATGGCAGTGTGCAGGCAGGCATGGTTTTGGAGAAGTAGTGGAGTACCCTACATCTTGGCTTGCAGGCAACAGAAAGTGGTCTGAGATACTGGGTGGTATTTTGAGCATAGGAGACCTCAAAGCCTGCCTTCGAAGTGTCACACTTCCTCCAACGGGACCACACCTACTCCAACAAAGCCACACCTCCCAATAGTGCCAGTCCCTCTGGGAGCCATTTTCTTTCAAACCACCACACTTACTTCTAACATGCAATGCCACATAATATACATTATTATTCTCAAAGGGAGGAATCAGGACATAGTGAGAAACTAACTCTATAGACCAAGCTGGCCTTGAACTCATGGAGATCGTCATGTCTTTGACTCCCCAGTGCTGGAATTAAAGTCATGTACCACCACAACCAGTGCAGAGTCAATTTTTAAGTAAATTAGAATTGGCAACTCTAGAGAAGCCCATTATCTACTACTGGCTGGCCTAGAACTTACTAAGTAGATCAGGCTGGCCTCAAACTCACAAAGATCTGCTTGCCTCTGACTCCCCAGTGCTGGAATTAAAGTCATGTACCACCACAACCAGTGCAGAGTCAATTTTTAAGTAAATTAGAATTGGCAACTCTAGAGAAGCCCATTATCTACTACTGGCTGGCCTAGAACTTACTAAGTAGACCCGGCTGGCCTTGAACTCACAGAGATCTGCCTTTGTGTCTGACTTTTCTTTCTGAGTGCCTCTCTTTCCTTTTAACCCTCATGCTTCAATCTGTGTTAAATTATTTTTTTTAACTCTGCCAAAAACAAAAAACCTACTTGACTATGAACATTATGACACTATGACAAGTCAGTCTGATAACTCAGATGGCTATGGGCTAACAGATAAGTAGTGTATGCACCATGAGTGCTGTGGACAAAGAGATGATTCATATCCTAAGCAAGATGGAGTGAGACAGCATCAAATGTAATCATTCTGTCCAGAATGCAATATAGTTTAAAATCCGTGCATTGCTTATTTCTGGAGTTGACCATTTCATTCTTTTCTCCACTGTTGGCCGTGCCTAACTGAAGTCATAGTGAGTGCAGTCTTGGCTAAGAGGGCAGGAGGCTCTGCTGTGTTGGAATGAGCATCTGCAGCTATGTGCTGCACTCATAAATACCCACGGAGACAGACGTGTGTACCAACGTAATGAATACCTTCCTTTACCAGCACCTTTCCTGCCTCACTGAGAGAGAGCTGAAGCCTAAACCTCAGGATTGTTGAAGGTGTGATACTATGAGAGTATGAAGTGAATGGGAGCTCCAAAGCCTGGGAGAAACACCTCTGACTCTATAGGCTGTAGCCAGTCATTATTAAGAAGGAAGAGATGGCTCAGTGGTTAAGAGCACTGTCTACTCTTTCAGACGACCTGAGTTCAATTCCCAGCAACCCTTGGTGGCTCACAACCATCTACAATGAGATTGGATGCCCTCGTCTTATTATGCAGGCATATGTGCAAATAGAACATTCATATACAGAAATAAATAAATCTTAAAAAAAAAAAAAAAGCCAGGCCATGGTGTTGCATACTTTTAATCCCAGCACTCAGGAGGAAGAGGCAGGTGGATCTCTGTGAGTTCGAGGACAGCCTGGGCTACACAGCGAGTTCCAGGACTGGCACCAAAACTACACAGAGAAACCCTGTCTCGAGAAAAACAAAAACAAAAACAAAAGGAAAGAGAAAGAAGGCTGTGGGGCTGGAGAGATGGCTCAGCAGTTAAGAGCACTGACTGCTCTTGCAGATGATCAGATTCAGTTCTCAGCCCTTATGTGGGGTGGCTCACGACTGTCTGTAACTCCAGTTCCAGGGGATCCGACATCCTCTTCTGGCTTCTGTAGTTTCCTGCACACACATAGCAGACACATAAAAAACATTTTTAAAAAATTTTTAAAAAAGAAAAGAAGAAAGACCGTGTTGTTTCTTAGGAAGATGACAATTTGAGGGAATTTATAAGAACATAAAGGTACTGTCCTTCCAGCCTGTGCAGGTCTCAAGTCAAAGATCTCCTGGTGGAAAGCCTGAAGGCGCTTCTCAGTTCCAGGTGTCTTCAGCATAGACCTTAGATTTGTCAGCACGTTTGCCGCATGCCATGCAGCAGTAGTCTGGTCTGTTTCTTGTGGCTCTCCCCCTGAAATGCCAGGCTGATAATGGCTCTGGCCCTGCTTCTCCCTGACACAGGCTTGTATGACTGTCTATGACATTCCCGACTTGCTGGGAGGAGGAGGAGGATGCTTAGGATCTGTGGTCTTCTCAGAGTCATTTTTGACATCTCGGATCCTGGTTAAAGAAAAGGGTAAGTGTGTGTGTTGTCTGGAAAGCGAACCTTGAAAAAGGTTTTATAAAATAAACCATAAATTAATCCAAAGATGACATAAACTGATGGATATGTTAAACTATTTACAAAAGCAAATGGCATATATTCTAATTAGTGAATATTACTTATAAATTAATAAGAAAAAATATGCTATTAAGTAGTTGCATGGGCTAAAAATACAGACTATTCACAAAAGTAGAAAACAAAAAAATAAGGCAGATTGATTCACGTATATGAAGATATGAAGCCTGAATAATGGTCAAGAGGAAACAATTTATAAGGTAAAAATTAGATACCACTTATTACTCCCTATGTTGGTCAAAAGGATTTCTCTGTAGTTTTGGTGCGTGTCCTGGCTCTCACTCTGTAGACCAGGCCGGCCTCAAACTCACAGATCCGCCTGACTGCCTCCTGAGTGCTGGGATTAAAGGTGTGTGCCACCACAGCCTGGCTCAAGGAAATCTCTTTAATTGTAAGGTCCTATAAAATCAAAAAGCAAATTACATACTTCCAACATACAGTAGCACAGAATATACGTTGTCATTGCATAAAGGAGGAATCGGGGCACAGTGAGGAAATACTGGACCAAAGCAAGATCAAACCCTGCAGGGCAAACTCCAAATCCCATAGCTCTGTGTCATGTCAAAGGGTTCATTCAGATGGCTCTTGCCTCCCAGCTTTGCTAGCAACCTGGTAATGGTAGATGTAGTTTTACTGGGTATATGTAATACCTGTACTTTTTAATAAAAATTAAAGGTAGAAAGGACTAATTCATGATTACTCATTTACACTCACTGCATTCTGAAGATACTCAGCAACCTTTCACAATCATCTTGTTAGTCTCCCTGTCCCGAGATGAGGTAGCTCCGTTGGTGGGGGTAGGGGTTGGGTGGAGGCACCAGCCTCTATGCTAACAGGAGCCCTTGCTTCTGAGAAGTGAAGGGCACTTTCTTTCGGAGTAGGCCTGCAAGGTGGACTAAGGTGACTAGGCATAACTGGCATGTCTTTGCTCTTCCTACAGGTGGCACTATTACCCCAGAAACCAGCTACATTGTCCTGACAGCCGCCATCCCCAGATTCTGTTCCTGGCTGGTTAGTATCATGCACTTGCTAGTCACAGTGGACCTAAACCAAGAAAACTCTGGGGCAGAGATTTAAGGAGGAACCTCTTTCTGGAGTCCCTGGAGGGCTGTCAGATTGTGGTCTAGCTTTTATTTAGGAATAGAATCCACTCATAGTCTTAGAAACCTTCAAAAAAGGGAACAAAGTTGTTTGTGAGAACACATGAACGCCCTCCCGTTGTAGATGAGAACACTTGAGCTTAGGCTGATAGCCAGGGACTAGTTCCAACTCTTCAGCACCATCACCAACACCTCGGCCTGTCCAGGGTCTCACAGACGCTGAGAAGTTGATTCCTTCTTTGGTCAGAGGGATTGCTGCTATTTTTTAAGTGCCTCTCTACATGTAGAAAAGTCCCATTTTCTTTGAGGAGGCTTGGTCTGAAATATAGTTCAGTTTTGTGGTTGTTTTGATTTGATGTTTGTTTGTTTTGTTTTGTTTTGTTTTAGGCCAATCTCATGTAATTCAGGCTGACCACAAACTCTCACTCTATAGCCAGGGATGCCTTGATCCTCCTGCCTCCACCTTTCCAATGCTAGGGCTACAGTGCTCTACACCACTCCCAAAAGAGTGTTTTGGGACATAGAAAATGTATCAGCAGGGAATCTGTATTTAACAGTTAAGTACTGTAGGGATACATGAATTCCTTGATGAGAGCATCTCAGACCACAAAAAGAAGGACAGTGACCAGAGACAAGCTTATAAAAGCAAAATTCCAAATGCTGGCAAGGAGTGAGGGGTAGGTTAGTTGACTTCAACACACACAACCTACAGTCTCCTTTTCTTGAACTGTATTCAGGAGGACTGCAGATATCTTTGTTAGAAAAGGACCAGGTTGAAGGGAAGTCTCAGTTTGCAGAGGGCACTGACATATAACTCTGTCCTGGAACTTGCTCTGTAGACCAGGTTGGCCTCAAATTCATAGAGTTCTGCCTGTCTCTGCCTCCCAAGTGCTGGGATGAAAGGCATGCACAACTGCTATCCAGCCATATAACTCTTATTTATTGAAAGCTCTATATATAGTTTGCTTCCAGCAATTAAATCTAAGTCATTTGAGATTAAACACAACACACATACAGTTTACATACCATGAACAGGCATGGTAGTACATACTTGTAAGCCCACCCCTGAAGGCTAGAGCCAAAGGATTACAGGTCTGAGGCTCACCAGGATTATATAGCATTACATAGTGAATTCTAGAGCAACCTGGACTGAGTAAGGCCTGCCTTTAAAAGATGCATTTAAGGGTGTGCTCAGGAATCCCTTTCCGACCAGCAGAGCTCTTTGTCCACCTGCCCCTGGGAAGTTTAGTCTAGGAAAGGACGTTCAGAGGACTGGGGCCATGGCTCAGCAGTAGACTGCTCTCCTGGCATGCACAAGGTTCTGAGCTCCGACCCCAGCACTGTGCCTTCCTCAGATGCAGCATTTGCCATGAGGACACGCAGACTGGTCAGTGTCTTAGTACCTATTTTAGAATCTGTTTCTGCAGTTCTGATGTAGATAGGGGAGAACAAAGTGTCATACTCTAACATGTATGTCTAAATAAGGTGCACTCTGGCCAGGCACACACCTTTAATCCCAACACTCACTAGGCAGAGGCAGGCAGAACTCTTATGAGTTTAAAGCTAGTCTGGTCTACATAGTTCCAGGTTAGCTAGGGCTACCTAGAGAGACCCTGCCTTATAGTACACTCTGAAACTACTTGAGTATGTTCCCACTCATTATCTAGTGGGTTTCCCTCTACTGTGAAATGCAAGTGGAGATTATGCATCCTCTCCATGTATCTGAGGCTCATTAGCTGGGCCTGAGGCCCTAGCAGGAAAACCCACCTTGGCCCAGTGCCTGAGCTCTGATGACCAGCAGCATCTTTGCCAGTATGTGAGGGCCTGAGAGGATTGGATGTGGTAGAAGAACACCTAGGGAGAAACAGCAGGGTTCTATCCTTGAAGCACCAAATTGAAAAGTCTTCATTTCCATTGGATACAGGTAGAAGAAAATGAAATAAAATTGTCTGAGAAAACCCTGCAAGCAACAAGGGTAAGCAGCATTTTTGTTCCCAGTGATTGCATCATTATTAACATGAGATGGGGGCTGGAGAGATGGCTCAGCAGTTAAGACCACTTGCCGCTCTTGCAGAGAACCTAGGTTGGGTTCCCAGCACCCACATGGTGAGCCATAATTGTTCATACTCTGCTTCCAAGGGATTCTGTGCCCTCTTCTGGCCTCCCTGGGTTCCAGTTACACAGGTGGTGCACATGTGTGCACACAGGCAAAGCACTCGTATGCATGAAATAAATATTTCTGTAAGATGGCTCAAATACAAGCAATTTGTAATGATAAAATATTTCACCTTGGGGCTGGAGCTATGGCTCAGCCGTCAAGAGCATTGGCTGCTCTTCAGAAGGCACAGGGTGGCTCACAACCACCTATAACTACTCCCAGGGAATCCTGTGCCCTCTGCTGGCCTCCAAGGACACCAAGCATACATATGGTACACAAACATACATGTAGACAAAACACTCACATAATACATAAGGTTTTTTAAATTATTTTTTAAAAATATCTCCTCCTAACTGCTAAGCAAAGAAAGAGTTTGTACTTTTTGTCTTCGATTCCTATTAGTATTTTCCACTTCCTGTTAGGCCTCTAAGGGAAGAAAATGCTTAAGGAGGACAAAGTGAAAAGGATTCCACCTAGACTTTTCAGTGTTTTTAAAAATCTCACTGTACATTTTTAAAGTCAGCATGCAGGATCAAATCCAAAGCCTTGAGCATTCTAGGCAAGTACCCCTACCATGGAGCTGTCTACTCTCCCCTGGCCTGCCGTGAGCACTATTAGAAGCAGATTCCACATTGACCTACACAGAAGCTGAGATGGTAAGGTGTTAGGCCAAAGAGAAGGTGACTTCTTTTACACAGACGTCAGTCAACTAGAACAAGACCACCACAAGGAGGGTACAGAAGCCAGGTGTGATAGGCAGTGATACACACCTATTGTCCCTATAGTCAGGAAGCTCAGGCAGGAGGATCACTGCAAGTTCTAGGCTAGCCTGGACTACAGTGAGACTTTGTCACAAAAAACAAAACTCACAGTGTTGGTAATACGCCAGGTGATGCCAAAGCACATGGTATATGTTTGGTATATTCAAATCTGACTCATCTTTTAACTGACAAAATGGATAAGAGCTTTTATTCTGTGAGTTTTTATGCTGTAAATCACCAGATTTTTGTTGCTAATGTTTTTAAAGGGGGACGAGTGTTTCTTGGGCACATTGCTAACAGGAGGAAAAGGAGCCTATCTTTACTCCGACAGTCCACAGTCCAGGCCTGAGGAAGGTAAGCAGCTGTGACTGTGTTCTTGGCTGTGTCCCAGTCCCTTGTTTGCAGGGTTAGCACAGTGTTGTGCCTAACAATACACCTGCTCTCTGAAAAGATGCGCTGGCATCGAGTGTTGGCCTGAGCTGTTTCCCTTTGGCTCGACTACTTTGTAGATGAGGAAACTGTGCTGGCTTCACGAGCATGGGTCTGTACCAGAACTGCACGTGGCCCGCTTTCTGCTGCCATTGCCTTGTTCTCGGGGTGGGCCAGAGTGGCAGCTCTTCCAGCATAGAGCCACAGACCTACAGTTTTCTTCTGTGTCACAAACTGTTACTGATTTCATGTTTTAAAACAGCACCTTGCTGAGCAGTGGTGGTGCTCACCTTTAATACCTTTAATCCCAGCATTGAGGAGGCAGAGACAGGTGGATCTCTGTGAGTTCGAGGCCATCCTGGTCTACAGAGTGAGTTCCAGGACAGCCAGAGCTACATAGAAATCCTGTCTTGAAGAAGAAAAAAAATAGTAACACGCCTCATTATTAACTCCAAGTTTTGCAAGTCAAAAGCCTAGGCAAACAAGACCAAGTGGCACATGAGTGTAATCCTAGCATTGGGGTGGGGGCAGAGGCACGAGCTCTGACCATGTGTTAAAGGTAGCCTGGACTACACAGTGAGTTTGATACCATACAGGACTATTAATCAAATCGTCTTAACAAGAACACCAGGCAGGCTTGTGTAGTTCAAGGTGTAATGAGGCCCAAATCAAAGATCAACCAGACCTGATTCTCATTTCTAGAGGCTCTTGGGGAAGAGTCTATCTAAATTGTTGGTCCACCACTTCCTTTTGTTTATAGGATGAAAACCCCATTTTATGCCTCCTGCTAGGTGGAGACTGGTCTCAGACCCTCCCTTGGACCCTCCACAACAATAGTGGACTTAGTGTTGAATCTTTCTCACATCAGTGTGCCCTCTGGCTTCTGTGATTCACACTATTTTCCTTATGCAAAATATAGTCACCCTTGCAAGCATCTCATCCCTTTATGGCAACAGTTAATGTCTTAAATACTGTGGGCTCAGATATTCCAAATCCCATCATCAAGATCATCTCCAGGGACTGGAGAGATGGCTCAGCAGTTAAGAGTGCTTTACTGCTCTTACAGAGGACCCAGGTTCTATTCCCAGCACCCATGTCAGATGACTCACAACCCCTTCTAACTCCAGAGAAATCCAGTACCTTTGGCCTCCAAGGGCTCCTGTGCTCAGATGCACATACTGACACATAGACATAAATAAAAATGAAATAAATCCTTAACTAGGTGGTTGGTAGCACACACCATTAATCCAGGGGAGGCAGAGGCAGGTGGATCTCTGAGTTTGAGGCCATCCTGGTCTACAGAGTGAGTTCCAGGACAGCCAGGGCTACACAGAGAAACCCTGTATAGAAAACAAGACAGAGAGAGAGAAAAAAAAAACCAAAAACCTTATTTATTTATATATTTATTTATTTAGTTAGTTAGTTAGTTAGTTAGTTTAGTTAGTTAGTTAGTTAGTTAGTTAGTTAGTTAGTTAGTTTTGAGGCAGGATTTCTCTGTGTAACAGCCCTGACTGTCATGGAACTCAGTTTGTAGACCAGGCTGGTCTCAAACTCACAGAGATCCGCCTGCATCTGCCTCCCGAGTGCTGGGGTTAAAGGCATGCGCCACCACTGCCAGGCCGAAAAACCTAATTTTTTAAAAACAGATCTAGCCAAGTCCAGCCTGTGGTGCATGGGACATCATGTGACACAGGAGAGCTGTGAACATAGCCCAACCCAGAATCATGAAGTTAGTGCAGACATTAAGACTTTTCTTTTTGCACACTTCATGGGCTCCAGGGGGCCTGATTGTATGGTTCCCAGGTATGGCCTTTGCCGATGGCAGTTGTGCTGCAGGGGGACAGGCTGGACACACCTGAGCCTTATATAGATCAGGGTCAAGACGGCCGTCAAGTACAGGTCTGAACTGCAGGTTTTCTTTGTGGTTTTATGAAACTGAAGAACTAACTGCTTGTTCCTTGCTCTCCCAATAGACAAGGCAGAACTAGTCTGGGATAACCTACAGCTTCAGGTTCAAAGGAGGGAGGGTTGATAAGGGAGAAGAGGTCACCAATGTAAAGCAGCCTTAAAGTCCAGCTGGGCAAGCAAGCTGAGTCTAGTGGTCCAGGCCTTTAATCTCAGCCTTAGGAGGGTGAGGCAAGAGGGTCTCAAGTTCATGACCAGCCCCTGAGCAACTTAGTGAAACTCAGTCTCAATAAAAGTAAGGGCAAGAGAGATGGCTCGGTGGCCACTCTTCCAGAGGACCTGGGTTCGATTTCTACCACCCATGTAGTGGCTCCCAACTGTCTGTAATTCCAGTTCCCAGGGGTCTCATACCCTTTTCTGGCCTCCAAGGGTACTCAGGGCACACATATGGTGCACTGGTATACAGACAGACAAAACTCCATATACATAAAATAAAATAGTTCTTGGGGTGTAGCTCAGTGACACAGTGTTGCCCAGCATGCTCTGAGTTCAGCTGCCTTGGTTTAGTACCCACTACACAGGTGTGGGGGTGTCTAGTCAGGTGGTCAAATTCTAGGTCTTTGATTATTGTCAAGAGTTGAGGATTGTTCCTTGTGGTTCTCAGCTCTGCCCTCTGAGCTGTTAGTTTTTCCTTCTAGGCTCTTTTCCCCACACCACTGTGGTTCCTTCCTTAGGACTGAGGACCTAGAAATAATTCCCCATGTGTCTCAGCTCTGCCCCCTTGGTTCTCAGGACTCTCTGGCTTTGAACATTTGTTGTGTGCATGTGCATGACTGTGCACATGCCACAGTGTTCATTGCTGGTCAGAGGACACATTAGGGGGCGTCAGTTCTCTCCATCCACCACATAGGTTCTGGAGATTATATTCAAATTATCAGACTTGGCAGCAACCGCCTTTACCACTGAGCCATCTTGTCATTCCAGCCTTCAGAGCTCTTCATTTCACTCTGGGCCACAGTCTCTCAGCCTTCCATTTTCCATAGAAGGCAAACCTTACTTTGTAGCTTCATCGTTTCATGCACCTGCTTCATGCCAGTGGAATTCTGGGAGTTCGGCATTCTTCTTTCATTTTCATAGTCGTCCTTTCAGTGTGGGCTGTGTTTTTACTGATGGAAAAATTCTTGAAAACATACTGGTCTTAAGTGGATTTCATGGAATTCATTTCCCTGTTCCTTTTTGGTTTCCTCAGAATAAGTGTGTGTGTGTGTGTGTGTGTGTGTGTGTGTGTGTGTGTGT